AGAGAGAGAGAGAGAGAGAGGGAGCTCATTAAAAAGAACTCTTTAAAGGGAAGAGCAGCCTTGTTCAGACAATTTAGCGCGTGTGGGGAAAAAAAAAAAGCGAGGATACCTGTCGAACTATGCGATCGCTAATCTCTTCCATATTATCTCTCAACAAGAAAGCGTGTGTAGATCATTCATATCACACCAAATAAAAAGTCGATATTTTCGTTGAAATAAATATCCCCAAAAAGAAAAAGAACAAAAAGAAGAGGAAACCGATTATGACACTGAAAATGCCAATTAGTTACTCCTTTGGAAATAGAGCCATTTCTTTTCCTATACAGTATACTGCCTGTTAGCAGATTGATTTGTATGAATCATTCAAGCGCACACAATACAGTAGATTACAAAGTGTGTGTGTGTGTGTGTGTGCGTGTGCGTGTGCGTGTGTATGAAAAGGTTTGTGGTTATTTATGAATACTTCAGTACTCCCACTCTCCCACAAGTTAAAAATGTAAGAGCGCATTTTACATCATCTAGGCCAAGATCCACAAAAGCCAGTTCGTCTTTTCGGAATTTACTGTGATAATGAAAAAAAAAAAAAAGTCACTTGCTAATGAAAACGCCTGACAAATTGGTTTTTAAGTATTATTAATTCCAGAATTATGCATGTCTTTTGAGATCCCCCGCTGTAATATTGCAAATACGCTCGCCGCATGCGTCAAGGCATCTCCATATTCGGTTTCCCAGTCCCATTAGAAAACAAAACATTTATAAGTCATGCAATTTATGTATAATGCTCAACAATGAGGGGATTTTTCTGAACGTGATCCAGGCAGCAAGCCTGTTTTTCCTTTTACACACAAACTCTTGTGCAAAAAATGTCGATTCAACACAACACATCTGTTTAGCCCAAGACGAAACTTTTCATTCATAATGTTGAAAATAATCATGACGAAGCCCGATGTTTTTGAGTGTTATTTCCAGCGTGGAATTTTTCACTCTGAAAAATGAATCCGGAATATGAGATGTGCTTAGGCGTTGTTTGTCTGTGCATGTCCTCGTTTTTTGTCAGAATTCAGCCGATCGGTCTGGTGGAGCGGATCCAGGCCATCGCCCAGAACATGTCGGACATGGCAGGGAGGGTCGAGCAGATTCTGCAGCGCAGCATCGCGAGCAAAAAAGGTGACATTGAAACCAGAGCTTCCTCACACAAACACGCACGCGCACGTACACACGGCCGCACACACCTGTCCTGCTCTCTCGCACCTCGGGAATGTCAACTAAAGCGGTCGCCCTTCAGATGAATCCCAGCCGTCCATTTCAAATCCTTGCAATTTGGAAAACACTTTCCTGCCCGCACGCGCGAGTCAAACTGTCAAAGTCTGACTGTTCTTGAATGCACAATTTATGAGTAACTTGCACTTGCCGGTTGAGCTCACAAAACATGGCAGGCATTCTTCACGACACATTGCCCATTCAAAGAGCGAAACCTTCATTTGTGTCATAACTTGAAGCACTCAGGTGATTCCGCGCGCCACAACACGTTCTCCAGTGCGCTCGCGTTAGAACACTCGAAGCAGGATATTTAAATCATGATGATGAATGATCTTTGAGGCTGAAGCCATGCGGCTCTGTCGGCGTTGTCATGAGCTGTCACTTTCGATTCCTGCGTCGGGTACGAAGCAAAAATCACATTTTAATTCACGCTGCTCTTTGTGACAACAATCCAGCAGGCCGTCTCGTTAATGTGTCATAACGTCTGATAACATTGAAATGAGCTTGATCCAAGTGCAGCGTTACAGAAAGTTTCTTTTTTTAAGTCATGCTGCTATCATGCTAATAAGACCTCGTGACTGATGAGGTGCTGTATGGTGGAGAAGCTGCAAGCGCTCCCCTAATTGGGCTCACTAGTGTCGGGGATGTGAGGAGAAGGACGGATGGAGACGGGAAGGAGGTGCAGAGAAATAAAGACAGAGTGAATTAATTGAGAAAGGGGCTGGGGAGAGGGGGGGCATTGCAAAGGTGGCTAAGGGATAATAAAACCTGACATGGTCATTAAGCCACATGAGCCATGTTAGGCCAATAACTTGCATGAGCTTGGTAGCTACTTACAGTATATGCCCTAATTTGTCTTTGTTGACAAAGAAGCGGTAATCCGTGCACCGGACAAAATATTAGGGGCAAAACGGAGCCTTTTTCAAAAAACTTGAATTGACACAAAGCAGTGTTTTCAGGAACATTGAACAGCATGAATTGTCATCGCGCTGAATAGTATCAAGAGAAATTCACCATGCAACTACAGTACTGAAAAATATAAAACACTCCTTTGAGTAGAAGTCACGTAAAAACATTTTCTTTGTTGTTATTATATTCCGTGTACACCCACGAGTCCAAACATGACCTTCCGCTTAATGCTGCATCTGTGGAATATGAATGAAGCAGTTTTTATCCATCCCAAGGGGGCGGCCATTTTGCCACTTGCTGTCGACTGAAAACGATATCACAGTGCCTCAGCGGGAACGACCGTCATGGCTCACCTGTTTTCGAGGTTTGGTCGTGTGATGTTTGCGAGATGAGCTGTGATTGGTCGTTACCCGAACCCTGAGCAACCGTGATGTTATTTTCGGTCGACAACAAATGGCAAAATGGCCGCCACCTGCGATGGATCAACATGGGTGAATTTTACTGCCGAATTCATATTCTACAAACACAATATGAATCAGGACGCCGTGTTTAGAATAGTGGAGCAACGTGGAACATATTGTTAAGAACATTCATCCAGTTGGTCGCTCGCTAGTCGGTGAAACTTAATAGAGGGAGCAGTCTACAGCTTCATTCCCTGCTTCTTGTCATACAAGCGCAAGGCAGAACTCAAATACATATGATACCCGTCAAAGAAAATCCAAACCTCACTGCTGGGAATGGCGCAAAATGACCGTACAGAACTGGCCATTGCTAAATAGATAAAGAAAACGTCCGCTCGGTCATCCATATGACTACAGATGTTTGACTAGCATGACACCGAAACACTTTGTAAGGCTGAAGAAAATGTGTTTCTGCTTTGAATGTGAGTCCCCTTACTTGACTGGCATTGGCATTAACTTGTGTAGGATATTCTTTTGTCCCCTTTCTTCTGTTCCCACATTCCTTTCAGAAAACGTGTCACAGAAAGCCAAAGGAAAAAGCAAAACACACTCTTAAATCTTTTGACGCTGGCTGAAATGAGGTCGAGAGAGATGTGCTTTTGTGTGCCTACAAGCTCTGATAACCGCCGACTTTTCTTGTCTCCAGTTAGGGAAGGAACATTGGGACAGTGTGACATTCCAAAAGACCCTCATTATCCAGACTGCCCCGGCAAGATGGATGTAAGTCTGCCTTGAGTGTGGATTGCAAAACTATTTTGCACACAGAAAAACACATTTTTTTGTCCGTCTCTGTGCAGCAGAGATTTTTTGTAATACGAACTGAGACAAACACTCCTCGTGGAGTTCTGGGTCGTCAAGATTGGTACATTTCAAGTGGCCGAAGGTACCATATAGCCTTTGGCTGGAGCTGTGTGTGTGTGTGTGTGTGTGTGTGTGTGTGTGTGTGTGTGTGTGTGTGTGTGTGTGTGTGTGTGTGTGTGTGTGTGTGTTCTAGTGGATGCGCGCCCGTTGGACCTCTGACCCGTGCTATGCATTTTATGGAGTCGACGGCTCGGACTGCTCCTTTCTCATCTACCTGAGTGAAGTGGAGTGGTTCTGCCCCCCACTGGCCTGGAGGAACCAGACTGCTACGCCCACTTTGAAGCCCCCACCCAGAAAACAAGTATGAAAGAAAGCACCGAAGTACAGGGATAGAATGTATCCCTCCCCCCGCAGAGATCTTAGTCTTGGAAAGCAGAAGCGATTGGGTACAGCGCTGCCAGTTTGAGAGCTGTCGGGAGCAAATATTTCAAAATGACAAGCAAAATGAAGTGGAGCAGAATATTAAACAGCAAGCGACTCCCCAACCTTTGGACGTTTGCGTCCGTGCGTTGTTTCTGCTACTTGCTTTCAACTTATTGAGGTCAAGCTAAGCTTCTATCGCTCCCTAAATCAATCCATAGCTTTGTTTTATGATCAATAACATCCTGACAAGCTGAATATGCAGCGCGCCATCTTTCCGGAGCGTACTGGCTGTCATTCCCTGGTGTCTTTACCCCGCTTGTTTCATTTCATCTCCATTCTTACCAGTCGCAAATGATGCATTCAAGTGCAATGATTGCTAAAGGTCCAGTTTAGCGTCACCTCTCGCATGAACGTTTGTCCCCCAGAGTATTTTGTGGCCTCCGCAATGAATTCTGATGTGTAGTCATTTTCTGCAGCCCTCACTGTTGCCATACTGTATTTTCTGGCTGAACTTACTTAGATGCATCCCTCGGGTACTCTGCATGTGGATGTGCTGTACACAAGTTGACCTCCATACAGTCGAGGGACAAAACGAATCTATACGCTAGTTCCTTGTGACCATTTCCAATAAAATGGCCAGCAACTACGATGTATAATCCAGAATAGAAAAAAAAACCCCATGAACATATAATCGAGTATACCACACATTTGTCATTAGCAGCACTTAGGACATTGCTTTTTAACTTGAGCTCAATGGAATGCGCTGGTGTACCTAATGATTTGGCTCGTGACTTGTCGTTACTCAGTCTGAGTGAGCCATAACGACCTCACAGCATGGAAGCTTGCAACATGCAAATTCTTATTGGAAGAACGCTCGAACGTAAGAACTGAAACAAACCGGCTAAACAATCCTCATGAGATGAATACAATCAGAAGTATCCTTTTTTTTTTTTTTTTTTATGGCCCACTCCGCCGCAAAATTGCATCATGTGTCCATAGAATGGGCGAGCCAGGAATGTGCATATGAACCAGTTGGGTTCGGTACCTCTCACAAGGTGAAGAACCATTGATAGAATGGGCGAGTCAGGAATGTGCATATGAACCTGTTGGGTTCGGTACCTCTCACAAGGTGAAGAACCATTGTGCTAGTCGTTGCAGCATTTCCACCGAGGGGGGAGCAACGGATAATATGCGCAGACTATTTATGAGGATGAGCCTGTAATACATCAGACATAGCTCTAAATAGACACAACTGTCGCTCTGTGCCTCATATAGTCTTAAAATTCCCCATTGTCTTCAGTCAAGCCGTTCAATTGGAATTGAAAGCAAACGATATGAATTTCAATGCGGGATTTTACAAGCCGTACAAGCCATAATGCCTGATGCTTCCCGTTTGATGGTAATGGCTTACAATTAGCTTGAAGAAATGAAATATGGGCGCCGGGGGACAAAACAAAACAACAAAAAACACCAAAAACAAATCAGCTTCATCACTAACAATGGCTGATGTCCTCCAGGCTGTTTTCCGGTTTGACACAGGCGCTCTGCTGGAGCAGGTGGGCACCGGGAAGGAGTCTCTGAACTTCATGAAGAGACGCATACAAAGGCTGGCAGCGCAATGGGCCTCTGCGGCTCGGCGGCTGGATGACAAGCTGCGCAGCCACCGCAGGGACGAGAAGCGGGTGAGCGCCGAGGATTTGCAAAACAGAAATATGAAGCTGCACACAAGCGGGTCCATGAGCAGATGACGAGAGACTGAAAGCGAATCATTTTGGTTTCAGTGACGTGTCTTAATACTGTTGAAACAAACACTCAGACAGTTATGAGTTGTTTGATAATCCTCCGATGCATGAAGTGTGTGAACACATCAGTTCCTTCTCCACGCCTCGCCCAGACAGAAAAATCCTAAAATCCCGGGAAAAAGAATCCCGGAGAAATCCAACCGTGTCACTCGCGGCAACAAATACTTTCTGTCGTGCGCTTGGGTTTCCTTTCCTGGGCTCACTCTCGACCGTTCCTCTGAATACAGATTCTCGTCCACGTGGGATTTCTGACAGAGGAGTCCGGCGATGTGTTCAGCCCAAAGGTGCTGAAAGGGGGTCCGCTGGGTGAGATGGTGCAGTGGGCCGACATCCTCACGGCTCTCTATGTGCTCGGACATGACCTCAAGATCTCTGTTTCTGTCAAGGAGCTCCACGGGTATGTACTGACCCCCCAACCCCGCCCACCTCTCCGCTCCCGTTTATGTTAATGAAGGAACATTTGGGGAACTATTTCTTTGCGCATATGCTTAAGTTTTTAGCCCACTGTGCTGAATACAAATGGAGAGTGGTAAAAATTCACGGTCATGGTCAGAAGCTGAAAGAAGCAATATTATCGGGACACGATCTACGGGAAGTATCGTGACCACATTTGTTTTGCTTTAGCATCTGTTACTGTTACTGCACTTCTGGAACAGACTTGAGAAAGATGATGGCGTCCGTTTCTCAATTGGCGAGATGATGATGCGGGGGTTTTGCTCACAGTCCGAAACCTTCTTCCCGGCAATGTTAGATGGCATTGTTGGGGTCTTTCCCCCTCAAAGTTGCAAACATGCAGTTGTCCTAAAATATATTGCATGAGGACTGACTAAACGTTCCGCGCTCCCAAACTGGAAATGACCTCATCTTATGTTTTCGTTTTATAATTTAAATTGACATTTTTGCCTATAGGGTGGCACCCTAGCGCCCCTACTGACCAGCCCTCACTGCCTTAGAGTCTGAAAAATCTGTGCTGCTTTTTCAACGCTGTTGGAGAATAATTAGAGCGAGCTGTTTATTAAACGATTGGTGACAGTGTGGAGCATTTTTTTTTTTTGTTTACTCAAAGAAAATGTTTCATTATCGACTCGCTGTTCTCTGAAAGCAATCAAGAGCCCAATCACGACGCTGTTTCTCACCTATTTTTTCTTTTTCTTTCAATCACTTTTGATCCCCACATGCGCCCCATGCCAGTATCCATAATTCCTACTTCCTGCAAAGAGCATTTTGGCCCGAAGGCTCGACAGCATGACTGCAGTTTATGCACCTCCTCCATGCTGCAGCTCACTGACTCCAGAGTGATAACCGGCTTGTTGCTTGTCATGGGGCGCACACACACACACACACACACACACACACACACACACACACACACACACACACACGCGCGCACGCTAACACTTTTTCTCAGCAGACGGGCTTTTCATGGGTTTCGACTTCAAATCTAAGACTTGATCGATTGTCACACTCGCGAGGTGCAATCGCAGGAGTTCACACAACCGACAGGTCCGTGATCTTTCAGAATTTCTCCACCTTCGGGAAAACGCCTGTGTGCAATATTTGATTTTCTGTGGGCGGTGAGAAAGCCAGCGCAAGACAGGCTGATGATAATGTGTGCTTGTTAGTGAGCAGAGTATCCACTGCTGTAGAGAAGAGGGAATGCTATTAATGAGTTTGGCCTGCCCTTTGAGCTTAAATATCAGGCTGGGAGGAAAAGGTGCTTTGAGAAGGGCAGAGATGGGAGATGGGCGAGGTGGGAAATATGCCGCAGTGGGAATGCTTCAGCTGGCCGCGCTGTTATTTACCTCACTAATTGATGTCACGATGTATTGATTCATGGCAGGGTAACTTCCCACTTTGGGATCCCCATCGCAACGGTGAAGAGAATGGCATAAGTTAACGTGCACACAAACGCTTGATTCACATGTTTGAATTAAACTTCAAAATGATTTTCTTCTTCTAAATTAAGATTCACAGAACTTTAAAGTGACTCACATACAATATGATTGTATGTGACAAGTAGCTGAAGTTAAAAAAAAAAAGTCCTATTTTATTGGTCTCGGCACCCTGTTGTCTTGCTTTACAGTAGCTGTGTTTTCAGATAGAAATGTGTGTGTGCGCATCATCAATCACTCTCAGAATAACGACAACATAACAAAAAAAGAATGCAACCTGAATCTAAAAAAAAACTGAATGGCGTGTCGTATTTGGATGTCATCTGCTTGTTGATTGAGGATGGAGAACAGAGGGGTGTTGGCGTGATTCTAGGGGGTGGACATTTCTATCAACACTCTTTTGACCCTAATGGTGAAACCAACTTATTGATGAGTTGTTTGATTAATTATTCATCATATTTCTGTACGGTCCTAACTGTATATAGTACCACGGTACTTGTTTTTTTTTTTTTTACTCTGACAAATGACTCCCGTGGAAGAGTTCATTAAAACAACACAGCTGCATTATTGATGCCTGATGCCACATGGCATGATAAATTTTGGAAGTGGGCCACTTGAACCGTGCAGCCGGAAAGGAATTGCCAAAGAAACATATGGCGTGGTTAGGGTTGTTAAATCGTAACTGCTTATGTCCCGTGTCCTGTGCAGACGCTGCGTTAGAGACACGCAGCGGATAGCTTGTTAGTAAATATACATTTATAGATGCAGGCAGCGTAGCATTCCTCCGGAGCTGAAATTGGACTCTATTCATCAGGAAATAAAATGTGCAGCCTGGGGGAAAATATAATGGGAGGGCTGAATGTGAAGCCAAGTAGATTTATCAACCTCTTTGGGATGCAGTGTCAGTTTATATGTCAGAGGTGGGGAACTCGAGTCTTATGAATCGGACTTGCGTCGACTCGAGTCGCTGATTTTATAACTTCTGACTTGCTTGGCTAAAACTTATGAAAGACTTGATTTTGACTTGAACGTCATGACTTGTCAAGTCATTCTGTGTTTGTTTTAATTTTGTGTGCCTTTTGTTGTACTTTTTTAGCCCACAGTAGGCTAGGCCATTTGACGAGGGCTGGAGCCTGCCTCACTGTCTCGTCGGAAGCGTCTAAAATGAATCCATTTGGATTATTTTTTTGGATCAAATCAGAAAAAAAGACATAAACAACATGCAAGGTTTGCAACTTGATTATAAACTGCACATCACCTACCGAGTTTACCATCACCTGTCAGACGCAGATCTGATAGTTGTGTGAACTGTGAAGCTAGCGAGCTAGCTAGGTTAGCTAAAAAAGTGATCGCGATTTAAGCTTGGCTATGTATACAGACTCCACCATTTCCAGTTGCTTTTCTCCTTGTGAGCGGCCACCATATTGAATGTGGCAGGACCCCGTGAACTGACTAAACTTTTTTTTGTCAAAGTAACTTTTTTTGTCAACATTTTTTGTAAAGTTTGAACCAAGTAATGACTTGCTTTAAATTTGGTGACAATTCGACTTGTTTCACTTCATTTTTTGAGACTTGCTTGTGACTTGCGGGTTATGTGAATTACTCCCACCTTTGGTATATAAACCATACATCGCCCTCGAATTAATGGCATTTCTAAATTGATTTGCCCAGTCATAAGTGACATTTGTAAATCTGTTTCGCATGACTGTTACTCAGTAGTATGTGTACATATCTGTCCTTATTGCAATTCCTTATTTTTACTCACCCACTTGCAATTAAATTGACTTATCGTTATACGGGTTGTGCTCCCACTGACTCCCTCGGGCTCAGAACTATTTGCATCTCCTCCTCTTGGCTTTCCCTCTCATGCTTTGAGAAGAGGCTGTTGATGGCGTGATGCAGCTCATATATTAAGAGTTCTTGATGTGTACAGTTTTTTAGGCTGATAGCGAAATAACACAGAGCGAACAAACGGTGTGGGTGATACATTTAGACAACTACGTGGTTACATCACATACCAATTGTTTATCCCTTATATCCAAATATTCATGATGATGATAAGGGCAAATAAAATGAACTGACTGGAGTCAGTCGTGGTTGACTCGGCTTCCGTGCGGGAGTGTTGGTCCGTCTCTCTCTGTACCGGGTGATTGATTGGCGACCCGTCCATACGGCACTCCACCTTTCGCCCGATGTCAGCAGGGCGAGGTGCCAGCTCCCCGCAACTCTGAAGAGGAGAAGGCGTCTACGAAATAGATGGATGGAGGTGCATACTGCTTTGCCTTGAGTGCACTCTTTCAGAAAGCATTATCTCGGTTGTTGATTTGGGCATCGAGTCGTAGGGGGAGGGGGAGCGGGTGCTTGCAAATACGCAGCAGCAGCCTCTCAGGAACAGAGTGGTGATGAGATCACTGCTGTTTGGTCACGGTGGACTGGTTGCACAGCGACTGAAGGTGTGTGTGTGTGTGTGTGTGTGTGTGTGTGTGTGTGCGTGTGCGTGTGTGTGTGTGTGTGTGTGTGTGTGTGTGTGTGGAGGCATTTAGCAGAGATGGCTGTTACATCTGCAAGGATGGCTAATTAATCGGCCTCACCGCGAGTGAGACGCGGTGGGTGAGAGGATGAGGCCGTTGTATGCGGACATCAAGTAGACATCCGGACATTTGATGTGACGTTATCATCCCGAGATAATCCGAAGACACTATTAGGCATCTGCGTGAATGCGTTCGGCGAGACTCCCTCCCACCTCAGTGCACAGGAGACGCGCCACGCTCTCTCACTCCAATGTTCTAATCTCTTCTTTCTCTTCCTTTCTGTCGTTGACACCGGCTTCACCTCTCGCTTTTGATACAGCCTTCTTTTCGGTCTTGCGCTTCCGCATATGCACCGTGCGCGCCAGTGCTGCTTTGCATTTTTTGCCCGTGGCTTTTGAATGATGATTCTGCGGGCTCCTGGAAGGCATCGGGAGTAGCCGCTCCTTTCTCAAGTGTGTTAATAGTGTGCTACTGTCATAGTAACGAAGGATTTATTTTTGGAAATATCAGTCTGTCAAATGCATGGGTAATCAGTCGGCTTGCCGGCTCGGGCCGGAGACAATGAGGTGTCAGATAGGAAGCTGCAATAAAGAATGATCCTCGTTATAGTGGCGGTCTCGGGTTGGTGCCACTGCCATACGTATGTGCTCACCTTGCGGCCTTTTGATTCATTTACCTCCGTTTCAATGCTTTATAATGGAAACCGAAAGCCTCAGCAATGTGAGCCTCTCGACAGAACCCTTGCGTGAAAAGTAATGCGAGTGATTTTTTTATTTTTTTTTTCTGACCGAAATATGCCCTTACCCTGTAAATAGATGGCAAATTCCAATTTTTTATTTTCGCTTTTTCTACAACATAAAGTCAATCACAATTTGGTTCAAAAAGGATTTGACCTCGAGTCTGTCAAGCCATGACTTATCCTGTTGTATGACTGTAAATGTGGTTCATTGTAGCATTTAACTACGTGTCACTATATGTAGGTGGCATTGATAGACGTTAGCAAAGTTGTTCAATATATGAAGATAGTCTTTAATTTCGGTGTCATGGAATATTATAAAACAGCATATACATTATACAATCGTGAAGACTTAACAACGGTGCATTCTTATGAAAACAAACATTGGTGAACGAGTTATTCTTCTTTAAAAGAAATGGCACACGTATTAGAAATGAGTTTGATTCTATCAATGAGACCCGACCTTTAAATCCACCTCGATGCCATTGTTAAACAACTTTCACACGTCACCCTTAATTGATGACATTTTCTACGGGAGAAAATGAGGTGCTCTGTGCGGTGCTGCTCCGCGGGCCTCGAAAAAGATGGGAAAATGAAAATATGGCGAGAATACAAATGAGTTGCTGACTTGGCACTGCGGTTACCTCACCCCACCTCCTCCCTAAAATGTGATTTCTCCGCCAAATGATTGAATAGTGACGTATATCGTGTTTCTCTAACCTTAACCGAGCACATTTGCAGTCACCTAAAAGAACCATTCATCCTTATATTGTACACTCACGAGTTCTGTTGTTTTCATGTCCATTTTTTCCGAGCGTTCATCTCAACACAGTAAACCAGAATTATGCAAATGCATGAAACAGATTTCCACCAATCTCGGAAGATTAATCGTGTGCAGTGGTCAAAAAGCATATCATTCTTTTTTTTTTTGAGGAACGAGATAAAGGTGCATATTCAAAAATGTAATTCCATCATTTGAGTCCCGAGGAAATCAAAGGTCTGCCTGTCATTTTTCTCGGGGCAAATAGACGTGAGCGTGCGTCATGCGCGTGCACACCTTCAAAGTCTTCGGTGCACTTTAATCCTTTGACTATCACTTCCGAGCACATTTACATATATCCAATTACACCTCTCGCGGCATCGGCGGATCTCTTCGGAGCAATGTCACGTAACACTTCACTCTTACTTGGCGCTGATACGACATGAGCCTTTACATTCATGCCCTTCACCTACGAGCAGCAAGAAGACACGTCGGGATGATTTCAGGAGGCCGTCGCTGAAGTCACTGGCTCAAATTGATCTTGTGTTTAGATTTGAAAGGCTGATAGCTAAAAGGAAGTCGTCGTAGCGCACACCGAAGTGAGCAACTGCTGCTGATGTGAATGGCGCTTTCCAAGCATAAGTGCCGAAATCCATTTGTGTTTACCTTTTGATTGATGAAACAGCAGCTTGACGCACGCGCCACCAGGCGACACATTCCCGCTCATTAAGCCATTTCGCGTCGACAACCAGCCGCCACCATGTTGCGCCGCTCATTGTGTTCAATGTCCAAAACTATTGATTGATTGCCCTGCTGAGTGTATTTGATACGAGGCAAAATGTGCAACGGGGCAATAGCTGCGTGACAGTATGTGGATTTATAAGCGCCAACATATCCCAATTTTACGAATAGTTTCTGAATGTTCAGTCTTTTTTTTCTCAGAACGACCATTATTATTGTCAATTTCTCTGCTCTCACTCAGTTTCTCATTCAACCGATGTGCTTTTTTTGTTGTTTTTTTTTGTTTCCTTTGCTCAGAAAATCATTTTGAATGACGCAGAATGTTATTTGGGTCAATTAACATTTCGACTCATCCAGCTTTGTGCGCTTTAAATGAAGCGCATGGCGCAGTGGGCATGTGTCTGATTAAATACTCTTCACATTTTATAAATTATACACAACTCAACTAGGTCACGGACAAATTCAGGTGATACATCTACGTCGTCACTATTTTATAATTAATACAGCATGCATTGTGTATGTACTTGCAAAGGAGTTTTTCTCTTCCTGCCACCATCTTTGAACAAACTTTTTCTTTGCTCTATAATAGACTGCACAACAATTACGTTCTTTGGGCCGATGTGGGTTTTCTTATGCCGATATTCTGATATTCGGCAGATGACACTTGTAGCAGCATACTGCAGACTTTTGGCTTCTTTGTGTCTTAAAAATCGATAAGTTCTTTTTGGGTTTTTTTCTCAGTACACAGAGCGGCATCCAAAAAATAAATCAGTGAAAACTCAAAAAAGTAAAATATTTCTTTTCAACAGTTTAGTTACACTCAGTATTCTCAGTCATATGCATTGAAATAAGATCAGAAGAATCGATAGGTTCTTTTTTTTTTCTCAGTACACAGAACGGCATCAAAAAGATAAATCAGTGAAAACTCAAAAAAGTAAACTATTTCTTTTCAACAGTTTAGTTACAGTCAGTATTCTCAGTCATATGCATTGAAATAAGATCAAAGGCCTAAAATAAGGCACAGAGTGACATTTTATAAGCATAAGTAAAGAGAGAAATTCTGAAAAGGCAGACCCTCATTTTTTTATGCCTTCGAGGAAAGCGACTGACCACAATGTGGCATTGAATTTGGCCTTGGACGTTCTTTCTGCAATGCACCTGCCAGCAAAGCACCGTCGCACTCCTGAAGACATTTTACATGATGCGACAAGCACCATGAAGGCATTGTGACAAACACATTCAGCAGAAATAATGCTTGAAAGCCGTCAACCCCGTGTTCTGTCAAAGATGTGTTGTTAGTGTTGCACGGGTAATGTGTGTGTGTGTGTGTGTGTGTGTGTGTGTGTGTGTGTACGTAGTGTATGTGAGAAAGCGATCCAAAACAAGCTGTGTGGACAAATTGGCTGACTCCCCTATTGTGAGACCTGCTTGCTGTGTTTGTATGCTCGAATGGCCTCACCATCATCTTTCTCAGAGCACTGGCAGGCTTCACAAGGCAATTGGGCTCTTTTTTTTTTCTTTTTTCTTAGTGTTTCAACACTCGCTGAGTCTGTATCTGTATATCGACCAAAAACGAATGCCTACTCGCTTACACCTTGACCGAGATCAGTGTTGAGCATCTGCATCAAAACATACATCTGAAGGTTTTTTTAACCGGATGGATGTACGATCTAAATAAGCTACATTAATGCTTCTTTTATGGATGTCCAGCACCTGTGGGTGCAACTGACAGTCAATGTAGAGTCTCTGTGTATCTCATTATATTACAAATATGGTTATGTAAATTTAAGTTAGAAGCCACTCTCCTTAAAAAAAATGGAGTAATTGAGGTACTGTAAATGTCTTCATATGTAGGCAAGGAGAGCCACAATCTCCGATGCACTTTATTGAACCGGATCAACTGTCCAACACGCAAATGTAAAATGAGACCACTCTCAAGGAGCTGCTGTACGCTGCCAACTCACGTTGAGAAACTGACGCGCAGGTGAACAGACCCTATCTCCTGACCACATTCACTTAGGCCACGCCCTTCAAAGGCACACATCCAACACATGGATAATTCACTTCATATACAATATATATATATATATATATACTGTATATGCAAAATAGGTTATTTACTTACATTTGCTTCAGTTATGTTTCATGTTTTTATAGAACCGGTTTCAGTGGGGAAAATTGATCGCAAAATGAGTTTAGCTTGTAAGGCAAGGTACCACTGTCGTTCCACGCAGCATGTTCATTATGGCAGAAAACATTTTCCCCAGTACTGTGGACTGATATCATGTATGCAGGTTTTTGGGGGTCCCCCCAGGGAGAGGAAGCTGCCCTCTGACTGGCGCTCTGCCCTTTGACCTCATCTACACAGACTACCACGGCCTGCAGCAGATGAAGCAGCACATGGGGCTGTCACTCAAGAAGCACAAGTTTGTCCTTTGCACTTCCTACCTGTGTCGTTGACTAAGATTGAAAATATTCCGTGACTTGACGTGACCACTTGAGCTGGACCGTGGGACTCTCGTGACCGGTTTCTTGCTCCAATTGAAATTGAGCCAGATACTGCTCATAAATGAAGTCCACGTGACTTTGATGGCTTGCCAGATGGAATTGTGTTCCTGATAAGCGACATGTGCTCAGATAGACACCGCCCAGTGCAAAGAATAAGGGGTGGGGTTGTGCTCCCCCCCCCCTTGTTCTGCCGCCTCTGTGCAAAAGTGCTGTGTTGGACGTGTGAATTAATCAAATTGAATAAAGAAGTCTTGAATGACTTGAAATACTGTAAATACTAAAAATTATAAACGGAATACACTGTACCATTGGAGAAGTAATTCAACGATACTTTCCGTAGGCTGCTACATTTTAAAATCTTCAAAAACGAGGACCGGCGGCAGCTTAGGTTGATAAACACTCCTCAGCAGAGAGAAGTGAGATACTATTTCTTAATTGCGACTGTATGTTACTTTCCCTCTCGAGGCCCGACGCCGATTTACGGATGCGGCCAGTGCGCTGATAAATCTTCTCAAATTGGATTACATCAATTGATTTTAGGATTCCCCGTGTGATCATTTTGCGTTTATTGCTGAGCTAACGGGCTGTTTTGGCCCATTTAAAATGAAACGCACAGGTGCAACCATAATTAGATTTCAGGACGCTTCAAAATTGGGGCTTTTAAGGATCGGATACTGTAACTGAAAATGTCTTATGTCAACATTTATTTAGGTGGATTTTTTTTTTGCGTGACAAGTCAAAAGCCACTCCAGTCACTCGGGCCCATTTCAGTCCTGGCTTGTGGTTTTCAGAAGAAAAAAAAAACATTTACATGAGAATTAATCCAATCCAATAAAAACACAGCAAATGACAATAAAAACAGTAATTTAGAAACCACAGTGGGGAGCATATCAGCACAAACCGGGATGCACACACGAATCAAAAGATTGAAGTGTTTCCTGTTTTGAGCTGTCAGCTGTCAGGAAAAAGAAAAAAAGATACGCGTGACTGTATTTATTTTTAGTCATCCAATTCATCAAGGTGAACGCATCTGAAAGCAAGCAAGTTATTGTTCCTTATTATAGCTCCTCTTCATTTTTTTTTTTCCCCCCCCCCAGGTGCCACATCCGTGTGATTGACACTTTTGGCACAGAGCCGGCATACAACCACGAGGAATACGCCACTCTGCATGGCTACAGAACCAACTGGGGCTACTGGAACCTTAACAGCCAACAGTACATGACCATGTTCCGTACGTGGACATTTTGGTTTATGCGAACCGGTATAGGCGTGATATGGATAACGAACACTCATCCACAAATGCTTCAAGCTCTGTAAAAAAATTGGCACAGCTGCAGTGTGCCTGCGTTGTGAGTTGTCGGACTGCTACGAGCTGAGCTGGAGGGCACAGAGCCGTGAGCGCCCTCAGAACGGCTGCTTCTGCGCATAATGCGTCAAGCCGACAACTGAACCGACACGCTCCCACTTGCTCAGGCACACACACACGATCACGCCGAGTGGGGGACACGTTTGACAAAATCTGCAATCCGGACGGGACTGAGTACAACAATCAATCGTCGGTGAATTGACCGTGAAGTGTCCATACAGGGATGCAAACAAGGGTTGCGCCAAGAGCGCTGCACCACTTGAGCCGGGGTGGTGGGGACAATGCCTTGCTCAAGGGCACCACGAGATGTACCCAGCAAGCAGGCTAGTTTCTCTCCAACAACTGGTTGCACTTTTTTTTTCCAAATCGTACCTCTTATGGGACTCAATTTGATGTCCTCCGATTCCGAAGTCAAAGTCCTTCCATACTGAGCTACTGCCATGCCCCCAAAATTACAAGTTACATCATTCAGGAATTAGACCCAGGTCTGCCATATTGCAGGCGAGAATTCTGTGACTGACCCAGCGATGCCTGTATATGATATAAAAAGGTAATGAGCGTAAAAAAAAAACCAAAAACAGATGGGTGGACAGATTCTCTTCATTGGAGGCAAATGGAGGCAACCAAAATGTATTTGACATTATTCTTGATAACTTTTTAGGTGGAAATATTGTCTTAGATTGATTGTCCTTTGGAAGTGTCGCTTATGAAATGTCTCGAGATCTTATATGATGTAACGCGTCATTTTGTCGTCCGGCAGCTCACACGCCAGACAACTCTTTTATGGGGTTTGTGGCGGAGGAGCTGAATGAGACGGCGAGACTGAACATCCAAAAAAGCAAAGTGAACAACATGGCTGTCGTCTACGGCAAAGAGGTCAGCATGTGGAAGGTAAATAATCACACACGGAAAGCCCGTGCACTCATTTGCAGTTCATTCAAGTCAATTGGATTCATAAACGAAAGGGAGCGTAGTTTGAAATGTGTCTGCCGTAGGCGCAGCTGAACTAAATAAGCAAGTTGACAAAAAGGGCGACGCGGGAAACAGATTTGACCCCGGAACGTCTTGACTGTGAGGCAGGCAAAACGACAGCGTGCTGCCTATGTGACTATAAATACACTACGAAAAAGTTATGTTACATCCAGCAAGCAAGTATTTTCTGCCAGGAAGGTGACTTGAAAGTCCAAAGTTGTAAGAACGTTTTATTTATTTCTTTTGGGGTCACGAAGAAATCTTTTGTTTTTTTTCTTGGAAAGTTCCCAACACTGTAAGTTTGAAGTTTGCCATCTTCTCTCCAATTGTGTTCCTACAATCGTCTTTGTTCAGTCACAGTTCTTTTTTTTTCTCTCTACAGTTTGAAAGTTAGAAGGGAATTTGTCTTGCTACTCACTTTTGTATTTTTTTTCTTCCTACTTGCATCGTGACCGCTGACTCTCCTAGCTTCACGTAAGTAAACTATCTTATCATCACCTCTCTGAATTCATGTCTGAAACAGATTCCCTCCAAGATAGAACTAGTTATTAATTTCCTGTACAATCTACAAAAAAAAAAACCCAAACAATATTTTCAATCATTTCTAGATGAGAGTTGTAAAAGTTTTGCGTGACCATCTTTTTATTTGATACTTTTTTTGTTGGGTAGTGTGCCGGGAGAGTTCTCCTTTGCGTGACCATCTTTTTATTTGATACTTTTTGTGACTTTTTTTGTTGGGTAGTGTGCCGGGAGAGTTCTCCAATGTAAAATGGATGCCGTAGCTCACTAAAGACCGGGAAACGCCGCTTTCAGAAAATGTGTGTTCTCCCCCTTGTATTTTGTCGGAGACATTTGAAATGACAAGTGGGGAGTTCCATTCAGATGACTTTTATAAATGATGTAGAACTTCAAGACGCGGCTGGAGTAAATCATTCATAACGTCACCGAGAATCAGGTTTCAAATTTAACTCAGAATGCATTTCAGTCATCCCTGTCCAGATAATTGTAATTCGACAATGATGTCCGTCGTTTGAACTTCAATTTGACTCACACAATCTGGCACCATTTTATTTATGAGAATGCAGATTTTTTTTTTTTTCATCAATCTGATGACCATCAATTAAAAAAATGCGGTATTGAACATCCGATGTTCAACATCAGAGTTTGTGAGCCAGCCCCACTAACATATTGAAAAATAGTGACCTCAAAAATGGATGAATTGACAAATAACACTCCAAACCGTCGGAGGAGTTAGGGCTGTTGTCGCTGTTCAAGGTGGACCGAGTTAGTTAGTTTCTCGTGTCATTTTTCCGCGGTCCCAATACTTTTGTCGGGATTGTGTAATAACCGCAGTCGATGAAATTCAGGCTATTGTATCACTTCTAGCAGTGTTTTGAGGAAATGTCATATCCCTTGAAAGGGTAAGGAGACATTCTTGTCCATCCTGCATCGCCACATGGAGATCCACGGGACGGTGTACTACGAAACGCAGCGTCCCCCGGAGGTTCCTGCCTTTGTGAAGAACCACGGCCTTCTCCCTCAGCAGGAACTCCAGCAGCTCCTTCGGAAGGCTAAGGTGAAGCTTTGAAATGAAAATGACAAGAATACATTTTTTATGGCTTGCGGACTCATTTTTTTCTTCTCTCCCCCGCCCTCTCCACCTTTCATTTCCCCTTAAAAGCTGTTCATTGGATTTGGCTTCCCGTATGAGGGGCCGGCTCCTTTAGAAGCCATCGCCAATGGCTGCATCTTTCTGCAGCCCAGGTTTAGCCCTCCTCACAGTTCTCTCAATCATGAGTTCTTCAGAGGGAAACCCACCTCCAGGGAGGTGTGTACACCTTTTTATTATACCGCGGAACCCAAGTGTAGTCTGACTGGTGTTTTTAACACATTCTTCAGTGCGGAATCCAAAACTGATCTTCCATGACGAGTTTTTGAGCCGTAGGATCCCCGTTTTCTTAAAAATACAAAGTATGCTCATACTGACCCCTTGGGAGCTGCGCACACCTCTCACCTCTCTGTCTCATTAGTGACTGCACAATCAAGTTACCACGTCGCTGTAGATAAGTCTAGTCGTAATAAGATGGCATGTCTTATGACTGTAAAACAGTGGAATTTTGATTATCTGGTTAACTGTGGAGAAGGAAGTTGACATGCTCGGAAAAAAATGACTGCAATTTTGTAATCAGCATTTTTTGAATTTTTTTATTTATTTTTTTAATCAGCGTAGAAATCTTACTCTGATTTTTTTTTTTTTTTTTTTAATTGGTTCCACAGTGTGCCTGGTTCTGCACAGAAGATGACTGCAATTTTGTAATCAGCATTTTTAGAATTTTTTATTTATTTTTTAATCAGCATAGAAATCTTACTCAGATTTTTTTTTCAAATTGGTTCCACAGTGTGCCTGGTTCTGCACAGAAGAGGTTTAGGCAATTTTTTAACGAGTAGCACCTAAAGGCAATATATTTGATGTAACCTGTTTCAGGTGTCCTCTCAGCATCCCTATGCAGAGCAGTACATCGGCAGGCCACACGTCATTATTTAGGCAATGTTTTAACGAGCAGCACCTAAAGGCAATATATTTGACGTACCTGTTTCAGGTGTCCTCTCAGCATCCTTATGCAGAGCAGTACATCGGCAGGCCACACGTCATTACCGTCGACTTCAATAACTCCGAAGAGTTTGATGCAGCCATCCGTGACATCATGAAGATCAACGTACGTTTAAAACACCACCCCTACTCATCAAACACATCTGTGGCCCTCATGTATTAGCTTCGATAGTAGAAATTGCACTTACCGTATTTTCCGCACTATAAGGCGTATAAGGAGTATAAGGCGCACCCTCGATGAATGGCCTATTTTAAAACTGTTTTCATATATAGGGCGCACCGCATTATAAGGCGCATAGAACGAATAGAAGCTACGGTAGTGGCTGCAGTTGCATTATGCATCCACTAGATGGAGCTACGCTAAAGGGAATACAATACAATACAGCTTTGTTTATGTAGCGCTTTCACAACCTTTTTTTCGCTTTTGAGAGAATTGAATGCTTTTAGCTGTGCCTTATAGTGCGGAAAATACAGTACGTTATATTTGACAATTATGTTGTAGAGTTAGTTATATTATATAGTGTTGCACTCATTGGACTTGTGTGCGGGCAGCGTGGGATCAGTTCCCACTCAAGCATCGATCGGTGTTCTCGTGATGAATTTCAATCTGCGTGTCATCAAAAGCCAGATGGTGATTGACAGGCTCTGACAGCGACACTCATCACCGCCCCTGAAGAACCCGGGACCCCGTCACGTTAATCTTTTTGTGACATATTGATTAAGTCGTCCCTAAAATACCGAAATCAATTTTCAAAGTTGTCCCCACTGTGATGTATTAGGTCATTGATTTAAATGCGAAGCGCACGGAACGTTATACGCCTTTCACAATTACGCTAATGAACATGTCAGCGTTGATGAACTACCGTGCTCAGTGACAGTAATTACGTTGGCTTAGTTCTGTAGACAAACAACACTCGCTGGACCCGCTGGTCATTCAACCGTGCTTCACGTCTGTGTTTGCAGGTGGAGCCTTTTTTGCCATACGAGTACACCTGTGAGGGAATGCTGGAAAGAGTTCATGCCTACATTCAGAACCAGGTGGGTCGCAACATGCCCACTCGTGTAAAGGAGAACAAAGGAACCAAAGTCACCGTCCGCAACAGTCGAGAAGCAAACGTGAATTGAAGTCATGCTCTTGTGTATCTGGATTGTGGGCAAAAAAAATAGGTGTACCTAATACGTTGACCTCACAAGGATGTATACGGATACCTTATATGGATGGATGGAAGATATATGAAGATGGATACAATTATTTTCCTGGGCATTTGCATGCAAAGACTATTTCATCATCTCAATGAACATGCCATTAAGGTTGGTCGTTTCGATAAAAAATGTCTGCCTCTTTTTGTTTGAAGGACGGTAGAGCAGGAGACCGAAGGAGATTGGAAGACTCGTTATTGCCTGTGGGCGCCGGAGGCACTTTAATAAACGGCTCTGGGGGCCAGAGGGACATGTCAGAAAAATGTTATTACCTGAGTCTTATGAATAGCTTGAGCTGGAGGGAGGGAATCTAATCCGAGCTCTCACAGGAGCGTAATTCAGCTTTCAATTCTCATTTGTTGTCGGGTGGAATAACGACATTCATATTATGGCTCGGAAGTTTGACAAGCACTTGTCAGATCTGTCCAGCAGCTTTCGCGTTGTCATGGTGGTTTTATGATTTCTCGGTTGTCCAGATGTTCGTCTGAATCTGCCATTTATCACCACTCTGTGTTAGTGCTGTAATCCAGAGAATGGCTAATCAGAGTCATTTCATCTGCACCTGCAGGATTTTTGCTCTCCCGAGGCTCGCTTTCCTCCGGTAAATGCTTCGAGGATATGGCAGGGCAGCCCACTCGCTCCTTTCATGCTCCTGCCCAACTCGAGCGTCCTAACTTGGGCCTCCAACATCACCTCCCACGCATCCTGGCCCCCGCTCGGGGCCCTGCAGCTCTTGGCTTCGCTGCAGGGCGAGTCATGTGTGAAAGCCTGCCAGGACGCCGGCTTAATCTGCGAACCTGCCTTGTATCGTTTCATCAACATCAAGGAGGCCTTTAATGCGTAAGATATCCTTCTCTTGACTGTCCTGAAGAATGTTGCAGCATGATCGCAATCATCAACGTAAACGTAGCCGCCTTTCCACCAAGCAGTATAGTAAGTAAATGCACGACAGCATAAAATGATACCACATGGGTAGAATCGTTCTGGATTTTTTTTCTTTAATTGAAGTTATTTATTTTATTTTTTTGCCATACCATATTGCCATATTCTTCTGAGCAGGAAGACAAAAGCCGAAGGATATATTGTTGTTTTTGTCTGTACGAGACAAAAAAGAAGAAAGAAAAGGATCAAAAGCCCGACTGTAACAAGCAAGTGAGGTTTCTCCGACGACAACTCAAAACACAGCAATACTGTATATTTATTTAGCTGCACCCTTTGCGGCGTATGACTTCCATCAATTGCGCTCCAAAAAGTGCGTTCGATGGATGGATGGATGGAATTTCAAATTTGTTATGTCCCACGGGGTCATAACCCCCTGTCGAAAGAGGTTTATTTTAACAGCGATACTGATGAGCCATTTTTACATGGCCTGAACGTGGGCCGTGTTGTCACCAAAAAAAAAAATAAAAATCTATTACAGTATTCTTGCTCGGCGCATCATCAGATTGAAGAAAAAAAAAACCCACCAAAACTGTATTCTTACCAAGTACATTGTGTCCTCCACCTTTGTCTCCAAGGCTGGACTTCCAATGTGCGGGGCTGGAGTCAGAGATGAATCACCTCTTTCCCGCCTTCTCAGCAGAACATGCAGAATGTGGCCTGCAGCAGGACCCGCTGCTGTTCAGCTGCGCCGGTGCCAGCATCAAATACCAGCGCCTTTGTCCCTGTAGAGACTATCGAGATGGCCAGGTGGCCCTCTGCAGGGACTGCTTGTGACCGGAGTCGCCCGCTCCCGTGAGACCAGGAGATCCTCTCTGACTCGGTAGCTTGTGGTCAATTATTTTGACAGGAGCCATTTGGCTGTCCGAGTAGGTTAAAAAAAAAAAAAAAAACTCAGGGACTTGCATGATTGTACAAGTACTTTATATCTGGTGGGCTTTGAGTCTAAAGTTGTACGTGTGTGCTTTGGGACCATATGAAAGGAATTGATCATTGAAGACGCCTCATACTGGCTCTGTAAGCTTAAAAACGAATTCCCATGCAATGGAAAAGGTACATCAATCTGTGTGTCTTGATATTGTCGGAATCCTTTCAGTGATCATCGTGTATATTTGTATCCGATGGACTCAAAGCCATTCACACCATGTCAAGATGTACTATTTTCCATGTCTGGTATTTGTACATAATTGTTTAATAAATACGGAAAACAAGTCTAATTTGTGATCTTAAAGATATAAAAAAAAAACCATCTGCCTATGGATCGGATCAAACCGTAGAGCAGTTCAACTCACTTCACAATAAGCAGCGCTTTGGCCCGTTTTCAATACTGAAAGAAAAAGGAGGCTTTGAGCTGTTTAAGGTAACACCGTGTTGAAGTTTACTGTCAAATTAAGCATAAAAAAAAAAAAAGAGAATTACACCTTGTGTTTTGAAATTAGTTAAAACTCAAGGAACTTAAAGGAGCTCCATTCCAACAAATACTGCAAAATGTCATTGACGTGTTCATGGTGAGCAATTTTGTCTTTTTAGGAACCATAGAGCCGCAGTTTAAAACAACGTTCGGTTTATAACCAGCAGTTTCTCCTTTGTAAGAAGTAGAAGCAACCTTCCCCTGTCGGGGCTTGACACAGTTTTTACCAACTCCAAAATAGCGAGAGTGTCGACTCCATTACACCATTGTTCTGATTAAATATGTGCTCGAAAGTTGATTGTTCACTGGTAAAGTATTTGGTCATGAGTCTTGATTAGAAATGAGCAATTAAAAATTGTGCACAATGGCTGCGAGTGTCAATTTACCAACGGAGCTGCTGCTCCACTGAAGCGCTTCGCACACGATAAGAGGATGGAAATGAGGCAGACGTTCGAGTCCTAGTTGGCTTTCCCTCTTTTGATGATTGAGTCTCTTTGACTGATAGCTCCATTTTCACAATAGGCGACGTCAGTTTCTCTTTTAAGGCTCTGGGCAGTATTGAACTCCATCTTGAGCCTCAGATATCAAAGCAAAAACATCTGCCGCTCGTGTAGAGTTGAGGGAGTTAACGGAGGCACTCCGAATTTTCAGTTTTTCCTCAATTCATGACGCCGTTGAGGAAAATCTCCTCTCCGCTCATGCGCCCTGAGTTAAGAACACTTTCTAGGCTTATATTTTCTTCCACTTCTTCCTTAGCTTCTAAAAAAAAATATGCCTCATACAGTGTATATTGTATCAAAAAATAAAACATTTTATATATATATATATATATATACTGTATATACACACACACACACACACTCAAGGGGATCATGGGTGGGTATGAAGGTGCAGTTGAAACTGAGTAAATATTGACTCCCAAACAGTGAACCTTGGCGTTTCAGTTCATCTCATTTACTCATGCTCATTAATTGACACACAATGGCACAAATCCGAATTCTGTCGTCGCCGCCACGTCTGTCAGCCCAGATGGTGTTAAAAGCTGTTTCACGGATGTCTTGCTGGAAATTACACCATTAATGCAAACTGTCAGGCTTGCATGGCCACTGAAGCGATTTTATCCTTCGTTTCCCCCCCCCCACCCCCACACACACACACACACACATGCATTGCAATGAGCATACATTTATAGGGGAAGTGTTTTTCATTCGGTTGTTGAAATGTAACAATTTGTTATATTCATAACGCACCAAACGAATCTTATCTCAAGGCACTTTACTCATGGAGCGTGTTTCACCCGTAGCATTTTGACAGAACGACAACGACAAATTCTAATTATCCAGGGTGATTACTGTTAATTGTTTTTCTACCACAAATCATTGTTATTGAATCATCTTATCAGATTACCGAGGGGAAAAAAAAAGGTTAAAGTACTTTTTGTGTCCCAGTTGGTTACTGTGACATTGATCCTCTTGCTGCCAGATATAAGTACCGTAAGTACCATATTTTCCGCACTATAAGGTGCTTCGGAGTATTAAGTGCACCTTCAATGAACGGCCCATTTTAAAACGGTTTTCATATATTGAGCGCACCGCATTATAAGGCGCATAAATAGAAACTAGCATCGGGGCTGCAGTTGCGTTATGCATCCACTAGATGGAGTGACGCTAAAGGGAATACAACACAATACATCTTATTTTATATCGAGCTTTCACAGGCGCCGCAGCTGTAACAAAGCGCTTTACAGAACATTTAAAATACTATGTAGAAGAAATCCGAATATTGACCCATATATAAGGCGCATCGGATTAGAAGGCGCACTGTCGGCTTTTGAGAAAATGGAATGCTTTTGCACCTTATAGTGCGGAAAATACTGTCGACCAAAGATGTAGCGCCCCGATTCAATTGGTTTCATGGTTTCAAGTTTGCCTTGCAGTACTTGAGGTACAGCAATGAAACGGCCCCGAGGCAGTGACTTATTCAGCAGAATATCCAACCCTCTCGTGGCTGACCCGCCACATTTCACATTAGAATCGACAGCCTGCTACTTTTTTTTTTAACCATTGATTTCTTGCCCGTGTAAAAGATGTTCTTCAGGGGTTGGTTCTGGCATTCAAAACAAGCAGGGAGGTGCAGCAAGCCCTAAATTGGTTTGGCAATCCCTACAGCGGAAATCCACCCGAAAAAGAACAAAAATGACTCCGCTGTAATTCTTAATCATTATTGTCCGTGGCTGCTCCAGAAGCAGAGAGACAATGCTGCATTTGTCACGGCTGGCTCGTTGCCATTTTGCCAAGCTGCAAAGGACTCTCCGTGACTCCGTTTTCGGAGCCGGGCCACAGCGATAGTTACACATTCGCAACCAGTGTTGCTTCCATTACCTGGAAAAAGTAACTTTGTTACTTGACCCATTACTTCCTGTGAAGCATTAGAAGATATTTTCAAGACCACACACACCCAAACTTCCCCCGACAGAGTGAAATGACAGAATCAGGGTTGCATCGTGGTGAGGAAACACCGGCTGAGCCAAGGGACAGAGAGGCTGTCCTTTAGCGGCTAATGAATGACTCTTCGGGCTTGATATGGTGACTCCATACAATCGGCCCAGACAAATACGGAGCCCTCAGCCGTGACGTGATAGAGATGAGAAGAGTCGAGGGGGATGGAGAAAGGCCTGACAGGCACTTCATCTGCCCCGCTGACCCGTCGGTCTGAGTGGACTGTCAAGTTGCCATTGAGGTGATTGAGTGTGAAAAGAATCGTCCGTGTGGGAGACAAAACTGTCCATCCTGAGGAGGAAATGAATGGATTGAGCGCAAGAGGATGCGGACAAGCGGATGGATCAGACGCCGGCGGGGGTTGACGACAGAAAACGAAGACGTGAAGTGGGAGGGAGATGACAGAGAAGAATTAGCCGCCTGTACGTGGCAAGGATGTATCCGGGGCTTTCTGACGCCTTGACTTGAAAGCGATCCCGCCCAAACATCAAACCGAAGGCGCACAGTACAAAGTTCATCCTTCTCAAATGCCAGAAAAAAACATGTTTTTGCCATTCGGAGTTGTCAAAACACTGATGTCAAAATTCTTGCGGGGATGAGAATATACGGCGCCGCTTGGAAAACTACACGGTGCAATTTCTCATGAGTTATTTAACCTTTGGATCGATGCCGCGGGTGAAAAGGCTGCAGATGATGAGTCAGGTGGAGGCTGAATGTGGCTGCGAGACGCAAATAGATATCATGACACCCCAACCAAGTCAAATGATTTAACGATATTTTGCCTCTGATTGGATTTTTTTTTTTGTGGCCTTGCGCAAAACACTCTTCCATTCATGAAGATGCTTCGAAAGATGAACTTTCTCCCCTGAAATGCGTCAGATGTGCACATCTTTGTATTTCCATCTTGCAAAAAAGCTGCATTTAAGAAAACATTTGACTCATCAAATCCCAAAACCGGATGTTGCTGCCGATTCCGTTCTAGGATAGAACCGATTTGTTGGTGTCAGTTTACCAATGTCATCTGGATCTCAAAACACATCCTTCAGAAACAAGTGAGTCTCCGCCCTTGAGCCTTAATCTACTCAGACAAAACAATTTCATGCCTGCAAACATGCTCGCGGTGTTTGTCGCTGAAAGGGCAACTAAATGAGGGTGACCCGTCCCTTTCACGTCTCCCCGGCTGTAATCTCCCGCGTAATTGCCTTAATTGGTCTCATTTGAAGCTGGTTTGATATCTCCATCCGCGCTGACGGACACAGCTGTTGGCAGACTTCGCCGGGCGGGTGCGGAAATTTCACGTTAAGCAATTTCATCCTGACACATCAAATCATTTATTTCGACCTTTTCTTTCTCAAGTGCCCACTTCAGCGCGTTGAGAAAAAAACAAAAATACTAATCAGAGTGGCATCCTTGCGCAAAATTGCCTCGAGCGAGACCAGGTGGGTGGCATGACCTCAAATCTGATGTTTCTCCAATGATCGAGTTGCCTCGCGCCGTTTTCGGTGCACACGCTATTGTGACATCAAATAACTTCCCTTACTATGTCGAGATTCATTTTTTTGGCCAAATTTCATCATGCATTTGAAGTCCTTGAAGTCGTCCCGCACGACTGTCTTAGCTTGCATCAGCACTTGGGTGGTCACCTTCATCTATTTTCCAGTGCAATGTGATTTCTGGTACTGCTTGCATATTCAAATCAGAGTGGATGTGAATGTGTTTTATTTCAATCATCGTCAGTCAATAATCTGGACTGACCATCACCTTGACCACGTCATCACGGAGTAAATACAATCTCAGCTCTCGTTTCGAGTGATTTCACTTCCCTCACTCCCTGTTCCTTCGTCCTCACAATTTCAATGTGGGATGTCACCGGCTTGGAATTCAAAAGGAGCGATTGTCAAAGTCACGGTACGCATAGACAAAAAGTCTTTCATGCTTCACAAAATCCAAAATGGTGTTCGAAGGTCTTCGAGCCGTGGCTAACGCAATTAAAGGGTAGCTCAATCCAGTTTTAATGCTGTAAAACTGGATTTCTTCCCTCATTCTGGGGAACCGTGCCACGTAATTATCACCTCAAGAGACTTTTATTATTATTTTTTTCAGGCAATAATGAGTGAACATCGCTAGGTTAGATACATTTGAGTAAGTCCACCTTTTTTTTTCGGGGTGTAAAATGGGGAATTTTCAAAGGCACCGTGGGGTGAGATTGGACCAGCAGTTCAATAACAGCTCTGTGACATGACACCTCCTAATGTGTCTCGCCTTCACTTTTGACACCTTTTCAGCAGTTTGGCACCCAGCACCATGTCATTCTGCTCCACTAAGAAGCAACGACATTATTTCCTTCCATTTTCACTGCTTCAAGTTTGTTTTCCCCGCAGCCTCTTTAATCCAAATGGGGAATATATTGCACTCAAATGCAATGACGTTAGCCTGCTTCCAGTCTGTAATGTGTTTTTTTTTAATCTTGCAATGCATCCATACCGCTAAATTAAATTGTTTCCTCTTCCCGATTGATGTGTCTTTGATTCCGTACTCACAACCGTCTTTCTCTCCTGGAAATGTGAAGCAAAGGATTTCATCAATCCCATCTGTCTTGTGTATTTGATTTGATTCCGTCGGGTGCACTTCATGCTGAGAGTGTTTGACGTGAGGCGTTATCAGGGCACGTGGGTTGTACTGTATTTCATCACCGTTCAGACGTGTCCCTGTGCCCAAGTTTGATGAAAGTGTGATCAAGATAAATGCGTTACTCTTCGTGCAGCATGACAGGCAATAAGATGTGCGTTGGTGCATGTTTGGGTCAGATAAGCATGCAAGTAGTTTTTTTTCTATTTCTGAATCATAAACATGACATTTAGAAACATCTGTATGCTATGTATTGAGTATTACATGTAGTAGCACTTGGATCCATCCATCCATCCTCTGTACTGCTTGTCGTATGCCTCACTACTGTCGTGGTTTTGCTTGAGACTTTACCGGTTGACTTTGGGCTGGAGCCAGGGTACACCTGAACTGGTCACCAACCTGATCACAGGGCGGAAACAGACAAACAACCACTCCCACTCATTGTCACCTGCTGACAATTTAGTCTTCAATTAACCATACATGTGTTTGGAATGTGGGAGGAAACTGGAGTACCCGGAGAAAACCCACACAGGCACGGGGAGAACATGCAAACTCCTCACGGGAAAGCGGGAGCCCTTATTTGGACTCATGACCTCAGAACTGTGCTAAACATTGGGCCACGTGCATTTTGAATTAAGGGAGGGACATTAAAACGTGATTTTTAAAGTCAGAATCGACAGATGAAGCGATTATTTCTATGCAGTATTTATATATAACTCATCATTATTTGATGCCCTTATTATGATGATTATTATTATTTAAAATGTTGACAAACTCACTGTTAAACCTCTCCATGCTCTCAGGTAAATAGACGTGTGCTATTTATTTCTTGGTGCTGTGGCTCTGGGAGGAAAAGTAGGTCACATGCTTTGGCGTTAAATGTTAATCTGACACACGCTATGGCCTCCTTCTTACTGAGAAGAGAGCGATGCTCCGGGGGCGCATACATGACATCCAGCGATATCGCTTTTGAATTTAACCACCAGAATTTGATGTTGAATACTTGTGCTGAAGTGTCCCGGCATGTAAATCACAAGTCCAGGCCATTATCATAATTGACCGAGGACCTCATGTGGACAGAAGATGTACTACAACCAATTTGAACTGATGTTGCTTGCGTTTTACACTGTCAAACAAACAACGTTGCTCTCTGACCAGATGCATACCAAAAAGGAACTAGTCTACTCCAAATCCGGCAAAGTTTAGTCATCTATTAGTTGCCAGCGATGGCTTCATTTGATGTGTCATCTTCCTGGGGATTAAATTAGTTTTTGTGACCATCAAGGCGGAATATGAATGCAATGGTCAACTGTTATGTCAGAAGAGTTTACAAAATGTGGCTCTTGATATATTAATAATCACATTTTTAAAAAGTAAGAATGACATTTTGAACAAGAATAGCATAGTGTAGGAGGATAGTGACGTCACCTGACGCCCTTGACGCACCGTTAACTGGCTTTAAGTCGATCAAATCCTCACGAAACACTTTGTCACACAATATCTCTGCATGATGACGCTGTTCTTTATTTTGATGACGAACGCAACCGCAACCAATACAAACATTAATATGTAAATGAGATCAAGATCGCTGATATTGACCGAGTCGCCCTCCGACGTCACTTAAATAAACCTCGTGCGGTCACGAGGCTGTCAACTACTTCCGGTCACCCACAGGAAGTGCGTCGTTGCTGTCAACTGAACTTTATCGCTCAACATCAACAAGCTAAGTTCAGTCTTGCAAGTTGTAACGTGTGTGTGTGTGTGTGTGTGTGTGTGGGTGTGTGTGTGTGTGTGTGTGTGTGTGTGTGTGTGTGTGTGTGTGTGTGTGTGTGTTTATCTAATATTAAACGAGCCCTTACTACGCACTGTGAATTATGTATCCGAATTATGTTACGGTTTGATTACATTTATTTTGATTTAAAGATTTAGGCAACAGTATTGTGTTTTAACACGTGCCCTTTAGTCAATGTGAAATTGAGTTCTACTGTACTGTACTGTTATGTTTGATGCATCTTTATTGTCATTTTACAGAATTCAGATGGTCCATCTTCATCTGCATGAATTAATTTACATGTAATCTGCATTCACAAAAAATTAAGGATATTGGATATTCGGTTTTTGGGTAAAGTTCCACACCAAACCTAAAATGCTCTTTGACCTTGACGGGGAAACTTAATGTTAGGCCTTTAAGTACTTCAGTACTTTTTTAAAAATTCACAAGTGCTTTATCCATGAATTGACTGCTACATTTTTGTGGCTGAATTGCACCTGGTATTTAAAGAGTCCTCTTCATCATGCTGTTCACACTTTGAATTCCTGATACCAAAACATCATTTAACAATTGATCAACGCTAGCTCACTTGCTCGGCTTCAACAGAATATTCCCAGAGGGCAGTGCAGTGCACTGATCTTAAAAGTGTCACAGAATGTCATCGGTCAGCAGAGATCCCGAGAAACCGGAAAGGCATAGAAGTCGACGTCCTTGTGAATTTGGCCATTCAGCTCCTTGTTCGAAAACAGCAAACTGTGCAGAAAGTACAGAAGTATTGAACAGTTGGGCACCCTGTATTCACGAGCTTTGAGAGGGTCCAGTTCAGTTCATTTGGGGATGTCACTGCGTACATAACAATCATTGTTGACCAAATGACAGCTAGCACACATCTTCAACAATTTAAAGTGGAGAGGCGACAGCTCGAGTTCTAATCACAACGGTACAATACGTGAAGTTGTAACTGCCCGCGCGTTAAAGACACAAAACTCAACAAAATGGACTGTTTCGACTGAATAAAAACCTTTTGCTGTATGAAGCTCATTTTGTGTAATGTAGGGTCCCGATCATTGAGAACTAATTATTTATTAAAGTGGCTCAATTAAGTAGTCTTGTGCAATATTCCACCTGTGGTGTAATATCAAACAATACAACCAGTTTATTTTACATTTCGTTTTGTCCCAATCAAGGTTTTCAGATTCAATTGTGTTGTAGAAGTTATGCGTCTCATTAAAGGTGGAAAAGTGCAGATTTTTTTTTGTTGCCGTTGCTGCCTTTGTTTTGTTCACTTCACAAAAACATTTGAACAGCAGCGTGGAAAGCGACTATTTTCCAAGCACATGAGACTTCTCACACCTCCCCCTTTCCTTCTGACGCAACGTGGTCTGCTGCAAATGCCGATTGTCTCACCTTAGATGTCATTTACTTCCCGCCTATCTGTCCTCTTCTACCACAGATACCAGATCTGACACACACACACGTGGCTTCCCGTTGGTCCCGAAAGAGGCGGAGTTCACGTTCGCCAGCTGGTCACACGGCTTTGTCATTTTACAACATCCAGCGAGGCAAAAAAAAAAAAAAAAGGCATTCCCTCTGCCAGCTGGCTATGGATGGCGTTCAAATGGATCAGTAACTTGAAATATCTTGTGATCAACATTCCACCGCTGTAAGTCACGTATTTTGGACTCTAAATTATTGTATAGGCTTTATACAAACAGTGTAACCGCTACTATCCTCAACCCTTACCTAAGGCGGCCTAATCAGCAATTATAAACGTGGCAGTGAGTCGACTGTGTCAATGTTATGGCTGTTGTCGCCTTTATTCAGGGGTGGACGAAGCTGCGGCCATGGTGCGGGAATACCAGTCTCCCGTTCGGGTCTACAAACATCCGTTTGAATTGATTATAGCAGTGAGTAGTCTTTTCCTCTGAATATTCACACTGCACGGCAGGTGTCGTTTTGTTGTTGTTTGCAACCACTGGCAGCTGGACCTCGTCGCTTGGATTGTCAGTACGTTGAAAAGCCCTTGAGTTGTTATTATTTTACAGTTTGGAGACAATGATGTAACAGGGCAGCTGCCGGCACGGAGGTGCCAATGTGGCCGTCCGTGGCAGCGCTTCATCACACAAACCTCAACTTTCAAATGATTGCTTTGATTGAATGTGGTATTGATCCAGCTGTCTATACAGCAGTGGGGGGGGTCACCAACTCGGGTCCTCGAGGGCCCCTTATCCTCCTCCAACACATGCACCCGAATGATCAGCTCTTCAGAAATGTTTGCAAACATAACAATCCTGATCATTTGAATTTATGAGTGTGTGAAGAGGGAAACATCTAAAACGTGCAGGATGGGGTTGGCCCTCGAGGGCCGGGGTTGGTGACCCCCTGCTTTCCAGTATGAAGGAAAGGAGTAAGTTGCACCATAAAAAGTGCTTCGTAAATATTGGTTCATGTCGGAGCAGGTTTTGGACCCTCTTTTAGCTTTCGCCTCTGGCCGAACGATGTTATACATTAAACCATGCTTACGCAACAACCGTGACACTTTGCACTGCAGACGCCGGCCGGGAACTCTTTCAATCTACGGTCCAAGTCAACAGCCGCACACACTTTGTGTGACTTGCTGAAAATCTTCTCTTCAAGTAAATCTCCTAAATCGAAGGGATAATAAAATAATACTTTCTTGTCAAATCCCCAGCTCCTTTGAGACCAAAGAATCCTCTTTCCCTTCAGACACTTTTATTTACTCCCAAGATTTTTCATTCAGCCTTGACTCAACTTGCCTATGGCAGCCAGTCTTTCTGCCAGCCGTCCTCGTGACAGTCATACCTTTTTTGTATGACTTGTCTCGATGCCTTATGAATACTATTGTACAGCCTCCTCAAAAGCCCTCGATTGCCAAATGAGCGCAACCTGTCATTTGTTTTCTTTTGACATGATGGATTCCGTACATGCTCATAAAACATCTATCATCATCTGAAGTTGAGAGAAAATAATTAACTTTAGTATTAGTATAGATGTGTTGTTGTTGACTGACTGGACTTCACAATTGCGCTTTGAAACAAAAAATCTTGGCAGCCCGCTAAAATGATGCGAAACTTGTCATTTTGTGTTGAGCATTGGCATCAACAAATTACTACACCATCCTTAATTTCTCCTTGTCAGGCGTACAACAAGAGATTCCCAAAGTGCCCCTTGATCCCAGTGTTTGTAGACAGCGAGATCATCAGTGAGAGCCAAAGCCAGGACGGCTCCACGCTGGTGATCGAGAGGCGCTGCACGATTGACATCGATGCACCTCGACTCCTCAAGCGGGTAATCTTTGCTTCCACATCCGACTTAATCCAGTTGGATGCTCTGATAACCGAAATAGAAGTGCAAAGACCTTCAATGTACTCGTATTGCTTAGGTATGCCAAGGTTATGCTAGTGGCTGCGGTTGCATTATGCATCCACCAGGTGGAGCTACGCTAAAGGGAGAACAACAGAATACGGCTTTATTTATATCGCGCTTTCACACCTGCTGCAGCTGTAACAAAGCGCTTTACGAAACATGGAGACAGACTATTTCACTCGTTTGTTTTTACCAACCCTCTCAAAAATATGCCTTTTTTTTCAGTTGATTTGAACAGTTTACCTGTCACTCTGATGGAATCGTTTTTTTTTTTTTAATGATTTATCTTGGTCTATTTTTTTTTTTCAGCACAAAAAAAGTGAACATTTGAACAATGTTTTGTCATCGCATTTTGGTGAAATCTTGTTGACCACGTGATTGCTTTTTTTTTTTCTATACAAAGATTGCAGGTGTAGACTACCTGTATTTCATCCAAAAGAACACTTTGAACCGCAGAGAGCGGACTCTCATCATTGAGGTGCAGAACGAAACGTTTTCCAACCGAGTCATTTCCTGCGAGTGCTGCAAATATACGGTGAGCATTGAATCCAATCCGTCAGTTAGTCAAATACTGAACTCGGTGCAATTTGGGGGAACACGACAACAAAGTTGACTTGCTCTTTTGCTTTTTGTTGTGCAATGGAACGTACCACTTTCAGAGCGGCGCCACAGCTTCATATTTTCTGATCTGGCTTCGCAGGTCCATCCTGAGAACGAAGAGTGGACGTGTTTCGAACAGACAGCAAGCCTCGACGTTAAATCCTTTTTCGGCTTTGAAGGCCTGGCAGAGAAGATAGCAATGAAGCAGTACGCTAATAGCATCGAAAAGGTTTGTATTTTCTTTGCTCTGACTCTTTTCTGACCGCGGGCATGGAAAATGTTTACGGTCGTCTTTTGAGCCACTTTCTTGTCTGTCCTCCTCTTTTCTAGGGGAAAGAAATTATCCAGTATCACCTCACGGAGCTGGAAAAAGAGGGCATAACGTACATACCTCGGTGGGCTCAACCCTCTCCGGCGCAAGCCGTCCCTGGAAACAGAGTCCAAGATGCACCGGCTGTCTATGACAAGGACCACCCCGCAGAGATAGCAACTGCGTCTCCCGATGGTCAGTGTGACAACGTCCTTCTTTGACAGCGACAGTGTCCCCAAAAATGGGCCCTTTTGTAAATATTCTGATTCATGTTCACTGGTCAGTCGCATCACTGGGCATGTCACAAGATAAGACATACGGAAATGCTAAATATGAACAACACCTTTACAGAGCTGGGCGGCCCGGTGTTCCAGCGGTTAGCGCGTCGACCTCACGGTGCAGAGGTTGTGGATTCGATCCCGGCTTGGGCCTTCCTGTGTGGAGTTTGCATGTTCTGCGCGGGCCTGCGTGGGTTTTCTCCGGGTACTCCGGTTTCCTCCCACATTCCAAAAACATGCATGGCAGGCTGATTGAACACTCCAAATTGTCCTGAGGTGTGAGTGTGAGCACAGATGGTTGTTTGTCTCTGTGTTCCCTGCGATTGTCTGGCAACCGGTTCAGGGTGTCCCCCGCCTACTGCCCGAAGATGGCTGGGATAGGCCTGGAGAGAAAAAATGAACTTCTTTTTTTTTTTTTACAGTGTAAAAGGGAGCTGCAAAAAAACTCATCTTGGAAATCTTGCATGGTTGTAGCACATGACCAAGCCTCAGTTTATAACTTTTATTTCTCACTCCATATTATGTGTTGCATGAAGGGGAGCAGCATCATTCCCCCGGTGCAAACTGTCAGAAAATTACACCTTGCGAGCGCATGTGGTTCTGACTGGTGTAGTTGATATTTTCCACTCCGTTTGAAAGTGCCCCGAGTCTCTCGGTAATGTGCGCCGCGGATGATGTGCGACGTTGACGCCGTGTTTTGGCCTGCAGACAAACTGGATGCTGATTACATCAGACGTTACCTTGGTGATTTAACGCCTCTGCAGGAAAGCTGTCTTATCCGACTGCGCCAGTGGCTCCAGGAAACCAACAAGGGCAAGGTCACATCAGTTTTGTCTGAACAGATTAGTTCACTTTTCCACATTTTGCACGTTGTTAACACATGAAAAATAAGTGATCTAGTTTCCTGGTTACATGATGATATTTTTTTGGGGGTGGGGGGGCTTTACAGTGTCCAAAGGATCAGCATGTGCTGCGCTTTCTGATCGCCACCGACTTTAACTTTGACAAGGCTCGAGAGCTTCTCTGCCAATCGCTGACCTGGAGGAAGCAACACCAAGTGGATTTCCTGTTGGACTCGTGGCTGCGTCCTCAACTTCTCCAGGACTTTTATAGCGGAGGCTGGCACCACAATGACAGAGGCATTGTCCCCTTGTTTTGTTTTGAATATATATATATTTTTTGAACTGCATATTTAGAGAAGGGGTTACTCCTTCTGCATATAGTGTGACGAGATAAGCTTGGGCTGCCGTTGTCAATTATTAACGAATGTCTTGAGAACCAGCCGTCACCGTTCGCACGAGTCTTAAATGCCGATCGTCCCTATGCAGCGATTTAATACAAAAATAACATTGAAACAAATCAAAAGCCAGTAGTGCCACCAGCTCAATTTGGATGAGAGTATTTTTTTGTGTTTTTTTTTGTCCGCATGATCCCTGTCTCTGTGCGTTTAGATGGTCGGCCTCTGTATGTATTGCGGTTGGGTCACATGGACACAAAGGGTTTGATGCGCGCCTTGACAGAAGAGGTGCTGGTTCGACAGGTGAAAGGCTTTAAGCTCACGTTGACACGCAAATCGGTCTATTTCGCACGCGGATCATATGGCTGACCTGCACGCTTTCCCTCGATGACCCAGGTCGTTGCCGTCAACGAAGAGGGTCTGAGGCGCTGTGAGGAAAACACGGCGATCTTTGGTCGACCAATTTGGTGAGAGAATTCCCTCCTTGTAAAACGGAAGTTATTTAAAAAAAAAAAAAAAAAAAAAAAGCTTCCCGCAAAAAACAATCTTGAAAATATTTTGTGCGTCAGGTGCTGGACTTGCCTGGTGGATCTGGAGGGTCTGAACATGCGTCATCTGTGGAGACCAGGACTGAAGGCTCTCCTGAGAATCATTGAAGTCGTGGAGGCCAACTACCCCGAGACGCTGGGCCGCCTGTTCATGCTGAAAGCACCCAGACTATTTCCTGTGCTCTGGACCCTGGTGAGCATAATCGGCGACTCTATCTTCACCAGCCACCGCGTTAGGAAAGGAATTCAGTGCGCTTGCATCATGCTGAAAGATGCTTCGAATAATTTGCTCTTTTTATATCATGTCACCACGTCGAGCATTAATTTCCCGTTCCAGCACTGTAGAGGCAAGGCGCATATTGTACATGAAAGATGCTCACGGTACGCAAACCAGAGTCGCCGAAGGAATAATGACGAGCTCGTCTCAAGTCGCCACTCTGTGTGAAGTCGAGATCTTTGGAGTTGAACACGAACGTATTCTGTTGAAAGACTGACCACAGGCGGATACGCGGCGTTAATTGGACCTTCTGACACATACTGCAAGATCATTGAATAGGTTTGCCTATGACAAAAGACGGTTGGCATTGACAGATGAACCAAGATGCATTGTTTGTTTTTCAACGCATTTTCGGACCAAGCAAATGAAACGGGATGATTTCCTGCGGCGCTGTGCAAATGGGACACAAATTGCTTTTGAAAGGTTGAAGCACGACGTCCGCAACATTGCTTTTAAATTACACACGGCTCTATTTTTCTCGTCAGAACTTTTCAAACGGCTCTTCTATTTGTTCTTATCGTCGACCGCTGCGGCACTTAAATGTTGAGTGCCGCGTGTGTCGAGAAGTCTAAATGTGCAGTCGTTGCTCATATGTGCTGGGGAAGAAAATATAATTGAAGATACGTAATATAAACCATCGTGGGTTCATGACATCATGAGTCACACCTCCACAATTACAAAGCAATAAACTTTGTTTTTTTTTTTTTAAAACTGCTTGGTTTAGAATCACGGGGAAGCTGGACCCGATCCCAGCTGAATGTCGATGAAAGGCTGAAAACACCTTGGATTGGTTGCCAGGAAACCAATCCAATATACAGTGTTGACCGGGGAAGCTGGATCTGATCCCATCTGAATGTCGATGAAAGGCTGAAAACAGCTTGGATTGGTTGCCAGGAAACCAATCCAATATACAGTGTTGACATCAGTGGAAGAATGATATTAAAAAAAAGTGTCGTTATTATAAATCCATCCCAAATATCAAAATAGAATACACACAAAAAAAGTCATGATGGTGACATTATGCATTTGAATAATCCATAAACCTGTGGATTGTATCAAACAGTTGGTTCGGTATTCATGTTCTGGTATCGGACTTGGCAGGTCAGCCCTCTGATCAATGAAAACACCCGTAAGAAGTTCCTCGTTTACGCCGCAAATGACTACAAAGGTCCGGGAGGTTTGGTGGACTACATCGACCAGGCGTTTATTCCCGACTTTCTTGGAGGGGACTGCATGGTGAGCTTTTGTCGAATCGCGTCCAACACATCGAGCTGCAAATTGTGTTTCCTTTGAAGCGTTGTTTGTCGGCAAGCTCATTTTCTTTCTTTCTTCCTTCATCCCCTTCCAAGTGTGACATCCCCGAGGGAGGTTTAGTGCCCAAGTCTTTGTACAGGACAGCAGAGGAGCTGGAGATCGAAGACAACCGATTATTGACAGAATCCATCTATAAAAGTGCCAGTATTTTCAAAGGAGCTCCATATGAGGTACGATCCAGCTCCTACGGCAACATTGTCGCTTACCAAAGCACTGCGACGGAAGTTGAATGTCAATGTCAATTTTCCTTTTTCTGGTAGTTGAAGCGCCGGATTTAAAACAGAACTGCACATTAAGATCGCAGAAAAATATGGAAATGAAATGACCATCATATAATGTCGCAACTTCAAAATTGCAGCGCTGGCTGCCGGCCTTCTGTTCTTTACTCTCTTTCTGTCTGTCCAGCTCCTTCGGCAATATTGTCGCTGACGGAAACACCGCGACGGAAGTTGAATGTCAATGTCAATTTTCCTTTTTCTGGTAGTTGAAGCGCCGGATTTAAAACAGAACTGCACATTAAGATCGCAGAAAAATATGGAAATGAAATGACCATCATATAATGTCGCAACTTCAAAATTGCAGCGCTGGCTGCCGGCCTTCTGTTCTTTACTCTCTTTCTGTCTGTATTCCTTTCAGATTTTGATCGAGATCGTGGAAGCTTCCTCCGTCATTACCTGGGACTTTGACGTGTCCAAAGGGGACGTGCTTTTCAGCATCTACCATTCCAAGAGGGCTCCTCGGCCGTCCAAAAAAGACACACTCGGAGCCCACGGTTTTACATCCTTGGCCTCTGTCAATCCGCAGCTCTTAGACAAGAGTTGGGTGCTGGGTCAGGACTACAGCCGTGTCGAGAAAGCCTTCACATGCAGAGAGGGGGAGAGTGTACAGGTAAAATGGAGCACACCGGGGTAGACTCATCTCCTATCTTTAGACTCGCGAACATGCCTCAAAAGTGTCCACCGCTACCGACTTGCCTTCCCCATTACTGGAGTCTCACATTGAATCCGCACCTTCCTTGTCTTTGTTCTAATAGGGCTCTCACATCACTCGTTGGCCTGGATACTACATCCTCCAGTGGTGCTTTCACAGCGCGCCGGCCGCCTCGGCCTCCAGCTTGTCTTATGTGGATGATGTGCTGGCCTCTCTGCAGGTCTCCTCCCACAAGTGTAAAATCATGTACTATATCGAGGTGCTGGCTTCCCAAGACATCAGGTCAGTTCATTTATTTCACTGTGCCTTGCGTGTTTTTTTTTTTTTTGCGATAACCCCACACTATATAAAAAAAAATAGAAAATCATGGGTGAATTCAAAATTTCCAAAGTTGTACTTTTTTTGGAACTTGTCTAGCGAACATTTTTTTCCCCCCATCAACATCGATAATCATCATTTCAAAGTTTTCCTCGATGAACGCTGACTTCCACGAGTATGTGTAAAGCGATACGTGTCATGTCTTGTTTTTTTCTAGGGGATCCATGACAAGTCTGGAGTCCAGCCATAGTGGTTTCTCTCAGCTGAGTACATCCACTACCCTTTCTAGCCAATCGCACACCAGCTCGACTGTCTCAAGGTAGCGCCGGCTCGACAACGGACTCAAAGCCCAACTGACATCCGGGTAACGCCGCTTGGGAATTCTTGGATCATTCTTGCAGCGGAAGCTTTGCTGTGGTACTTTCAAAAGACAGTGGACACTGTAGTCAATCTGTGTTGGATTAAAAAAAAAAGGCAGTCAAGTGTCATCGATCACTGGACAGTAGTCAATGCGCGTGATGGGTCAATAGAAGTCATGTCGTGTCAAAGTGATATGGCAGCAGTTTGTCACTGAATTTTCTTTGATTGTCCACTAGATGTCAGTGTACTCGTGCAGAAAATGCTCGAGCCCCCAGTTCATGTTTTTTTTTTTTTTTGTCTTGTAAACAAATTTACTGCATCGAAACACGTCTGAGAACACAAATCATACCCAGCTTCACATGATAAAAAAATAGAAACCTGCACCCTCTAATCCAACACAAAAACAATGTTACCCTTGCCTTTACAAAGATAAGTTTTAAGTTGGCTGTGGTTTTGAGGGCTGTTTCTCATATTTTGGCGCCTATTTGTCCATTGTTACAAACTCCACTGCAAAACATGATCACATACGGTTTATGCAAATCATACAGATGATTTTTATATTTGGCTTCTACGTGTGTTACAATATTTAGCAGCAATTAATATATTGCACTCTTGAAGAAAATCCAGCCTCTTGAATTAAATAAAACAAAAGTAACTACACATCCTGAGACTGGTATAACATGCATTGAATGTCAACTACCCGCATATCGTCCCAGAATGGTTGTGCAGATTTACATTTTTCTCACTCAAGCTCATTAGGAGAAGGAATAGGAAGAAGAGTGGCGCTTGAATAAAGAATGCATTACAAGAACATATATTGCTGTGGCCTCCAGAGAGCCTTTACGCTGAATTGGAGGGGGGAAAAAAATGTCTGTGGTGGCTGTGTTGCAGTGTGGTTGTAAGAGTTAGCCTCTCCAGAGCAATAAGTGGAAGGTTGGGAGGGAAAACTCCAGATGGCTTGTTGCATGCAGTATTTGATGAAAGAAGTGGCTGCTTTCGTCATCGTCAGGTCGGAGAGACAATCTGCACCGAAACGGAACAATGATGAAATCCAGTCACCAGTATAACACACAAAGGCAGTATAACACGCAAAGTGATTCGGGCTGAGATTAAATTTGAAGTATTTGCATAAGCATGTTTTCAGGGGCTGCCAATTTGAATACCATGAGATGTTTTGTCGATGCACAGCGCATTTACATAAAACCTCAATATCCATAAACTCATCAGCTGCTCCCAGCTAAAACTTAAACGATTGTACTGCCGTCGTTTCTGATTGGCAACTATGTGCTGCTGCAGTCGAAACTCAAAACTGTCAACAGTTGAAGACATTTCATGGACATCTTTGAAGATTTAATACATTTTGATTTTCTTGTCAAATCGCCTTTTCCGCAGTCTCGTGATTAGTAGGGCGATTACGCCTCCATAGACCACAGACACCACAAAGTTGAAGGACATTCAATCAAGGCTATCCGATTGGAAAATCATACTTCGAAAAGCATCAATGTCACTGGCAAATTAGAAGTGGTGGAGAGTATTCTGAACAGTCTTCAGCAGCAGCTCAAATCTAGCATGTCACGTTCCTGCACCCCCCAAGAGGATGACAGTTTCAGAAGGCGAAAGAATCCTTGTACTTTCTTCAGGTAGAAAATCGTGACCAGCGTGTGCAGAGACTGCAAGGGCACGTGGAGTACTGACTGTATCTGGTATTCAAATCAGAAGAAAAAAAAACAATCTCGATTCTAAAATGCAACCCCAAAAAAAGAAATCGAGCTCACAAACGCTAGCAAAGGCACGCGTGGCTCATATCAGAACTGATTTCTTGCTTTTGGGAGTACACTTTCGAAACATTTGTAAAAGAGTTTTATCATGATGTCAAATAAGACACAATTAAAATCAAAACAGACAAGCTGTTACTCTTGAAAGTTGAGGGGTTCGTTGTTTTTAGTGGACAGCTCTACTTTAAGAATGGGCAAAAGGAGAGATGGTATCCTTTTGAATGCAGTTTTATTAAAAGGGGGGGGGGGGAACTTATGTACCGCAGCACGTTCGAAAACACAACTCCTTCTTCCGGCTACTAAAACACTTCCTGTTTCCTTCAGCCAATCAGACGCTCTCAACATAAACACGTTTAAGAAGTAATTAAAGAATATAATTTAGGTAACTTTAACATCAAAGACTACTGTAATGTTCAAACATAAAATGATAATAATTAACAATTTAACAAAAGCTTACACTCTCGACTTCCAAAGTGCAGGTCTGTCTCCACTTTGTTTCAGATGAGACGCAATTATTAATGGCGCACAGAAGTAAAGCCACCGCTGCAATGATTTCAATTCCATCTGCTGCAAAATAATAAGAGTCGAGTTGAAGGCGTCTGTTCTTTTCCGTTCCCTGCCGGGCCGCCGTCGCTCAGCGACAGTCCGTTTGCTTTCGCCGGCAGGTGGGAGAAAAGGTGTGGGTGTCTGCGGAATAAAGAACAGCGATGTGCCCGCGTGAGAGCAAAGCCGGCGATAGGCAGCGGATCAAGGGGCGAAGGTGGTGTTCGCGACGAAGCGAAGAGCTCGGCGATCAAGGCAAGTTCACATTTTAAACAGCCGCGGGGCCTCTCGTGGGATCATCCGCCATCTTTGCGTTGCAGCCACTTTTCATCTGTTCAGACTTTGCATTCGAGTGGAATCTGGTTCCCTTGGCCCGGTTGTTCAGTTTCTATGCTTGGTTACATTCACTGATTGGATTCATGCTTATAGAGTAAAATGTTGTTTTCGTGAGCTGAAGTGTGATCGATCATGTCAATCGTGTCCTCTGATTGTTGATTTTCAGTTGTGTTCCATTGCACTGTACATTTGTTGAATGTTGGAAGTACCAGTAGAACCAGTGACACTTTTACGATACTTTGGAAAACATAGACCTCCGTTATTTGGTATGGATCCTGCCAAACACGACTGACTAAAAGTACTTGCATTTTGAACAGCTTACTCCAAAAAAAAAAAAAAGCAAGGGGAGAACGACAGCCCCAACAGGATGTGAGAATGGCTTCGGGCCTTGCCTATCAACGTTGTATAAATTTCTGTCATTCACAGCCTACCGACAGTCACATAACATGCCATTAAAATGAGAATAGTGTTAGAGAGCAAGCTCTTCAGGTCTTACTGCCCATAACTGGCAATGTGACTCACGGTAGTGTCAGAGGATGATGGATGCTTTGTTTCGCCCGATGCCTCCACATGATGCCATATGTCTTTGTGTCACTTGCAATTGGGGATCCTTCACCTTTGTGTTAAAACACTGAGATGGATTGCTTCCTTTTCCCCAAGGTTGCTTAATAATTGGGACATATGCACACAAACTGCACTCCTGGATGTATATGTGATGGAGAGAGGGAGCAATTTCCTTCAAGGGAAACTCAAGTAAAAAAAAAAATTTATACACACACACACACACACACTTAAACATACACACCTTTTGATCCCAAAGTGCATGAAGAATATATTTTCCTGGGCAGCGATCCAGTGTCCAAGGAACAATTGGAGGTTGCTAGGCCACAGCTACCCTGGTGAATCTAAGATGAATCCAGTGAAATCTACAAAATGTCATGGCATAGGGAGGATTCTTGAACTATCTGCAAAATTGAATCGGCCCTTTTTTTAATGGCTCTAATCATTCCATCGCTATTTGAACCGGTTTGTGTGTAAAATGCATTTAGAAAAGGATCCATTCGGCTTCAGGTGGCTTCTCAATTCTCCACCCATTGGATGTGTTGTCATAAAATTCATCAAGATTGGTGAGTGCTTGACATCTACTGACATGTTTGTTTTTTTTATCCTCCCCAATCGGTGCGCCACTGGCTCAAATACAACTTCAGTTTAAATAGATCTGAATCAGGTTCTGGGCTGCAATCTGTTGGATTGTCAGGCAGGCTTAGTGCTGACCCACCGCTGCTTCTTCGCCTTGTAAGCAGAGCCAAACGTGCTCGACAGGAGTCATCGCCTCCTCTACAGCACTGAATAATATTTGTTTTCGAGGATTACTCGACGTTAATAATTCAGTAGCCGCCTCGGTTTGTAAATTGAAACAAATTAGGTTTGTGCCCATCAGCTATCACGTCTCGTTATAGCCTCGCTACTTCGATATAAAACGGCTCTGAAGAGCCATTTTAAAAATGACAATGTGAAAATATCAATGTTTTACTACAATGCCCTCGGGAAAGGTAAGGAGCAGTTTAGGAATTGTCCTATTCTAACCTAAATATTGTATATATATGAATGATTCTTCCTTTCTTGAACTGTATTGTACCAGATGACCAAAATCGATCTCACCTGACATCTTCTGGAGTGTCTTTCCAGCATGCCGGTGAATAAAAGCACTATAAAGTGTGTGGTTCTTCTGCTTTGTGTTTCCAGTTTCAGCAACCTTTTAACCTTTTGCCTATCTAGTGTCACTCTTGATGTCTCTCGGCTATTCCGCTGAGCATCAAGGATGCAGACAATTTATTTAAAAAGGCTGTTCCAAATAAAATATTCAATAAATACAACAAAAAAAAGGGTGCCCTTGTTCATGTTTGTTGTGAGTTACCATCTCTTGCGTTATTATGGATCATCAAATTATGACCAATTTCCCGTATATGGTGTATTTCGGTAATTAATCTTCGTCATGGGTCGCTGACCTTTTTGAAAGTGAAACGAATCAATGACTTTACCCGGACGAAACAAATTGTCTTTTGCGGCACGTTTCTCCATTTGCGTTTGATGACATCTTTTCTGACACGCCGCGTTGCCAGTGAGATCTTTTTCTGATCAATAGCAACGCCGGCAAAGTGTTTCGAATAACGCGAGCCATCCACCTCGTGGGTGAACTCACTTTCATCCATCTAACTCAGATAATTGGTCCTGATACAATAGCCTCGTATATTTCTTGACAAAGCAGGTATCATTATCAGTGCGTGCCTTGCGGAGTCCTGCGGGGAACAACATGAGACAAAGATAAAGAGGATGGTTATTCTAAGAAGCTGGAATGCAGTCGAGCGTGACAGTTTTTGAGCAATGGATGCAGGTTTAAAGCCTAGCAAAAAGTATGGGGGAGGCTGGGCTCGGATCATGCTCTCCTGTGGCTTCGGCTTTTTCTGCCCGCTCCCGCATAAGCTTGAACTCCTTGGGAAGGATGTTCTAAAGCCATGTGATTAGCGATATTACATTTCAGGAAAGAAAAAACAAAAAATGGGACATAATGTTGAAAAAGCAGCAAGAAATACACGTCATCCTTCTTTCAGTTTGAATGTGGAGATCTGA